GACCATCAGGGCGAGTAACACATGCTGCCAGAAACAAATACCCACATTAACCTAATTATCTTAATGATCTTACCAAGAGCTAAAAACTGAGGTGACATTTACCAAACCAGCCACATGTCGGCTCATGGAATCTACAACGGAGTGCAACAGGCATTACAAGGGGCTTCACCTTTGTTTTCTCTTCTGGGAGCTTTGTTGTTCTCCGGATTGTAAAATGTCATCAGGACCGAACGAAGGCCAAAGATTAGGACGCACGTGGTAGAAAGAAATACATAGAAATGCCCTGTAAAATTAAAAAAACAAGCATGTGGCATCCAAGGTCTACTGAAACGTTAAGACAATGTTTAGTCTGAGATAGCTTTTCAGAGTGCCTAAACCCTCGCTATTAGGTCTATCCCTTCAATCGATGTCGTTAAATCCTGTCTTAAGATTCATCTTTTACCTTTTGGATTATCATCAATATTGTAGAAGCTCCTTTGGGTTGCCGCAAACAACAAAATGAGTAATTCTAGGGTGAGGTTTTACATGAAAACGACCTACAAACTATCACTGGTAGAGAACAGGCACAGCGTTGTAAAGACTGGCACCCACCTCAGAGGTCCACTTCCCTTCTAAGCCCTAACCCAAACACAAACACAGTCAGTAAACTGGCCGGCTCACCTTGTCACTTACAATTACTTTCACAAAGTCTGTGTCTTGCACGAAAATTAGATTTTAGTCACTTAAACCAAAGCAAACATCGAGGATACAAATGCAATATGCTAAACTACTTTGGAGGCCGCAAAAAATAAAATCATATGTAGATCAAAGAGAAACTATATCAGAAAACAGCAGAAAACACATTTTCACCCCACACAGCTTAACCGTGGTGAATCTCCTGAATGTAGCCCCTCTTCATCTTTGCTTAAAAGTATGTAATGGCCAAAGAACCATGTCAGTGTACAGCTGAATTTGCTCCCAGTAGGCACAAAAAAAAAAAAGAAGGCAGATCAGCCAGGTCCTCCAGAAACATGAGCCCACTCCCACAGCGAGGAGGAGCAGCCAGCAGCCGGCCTGCCTGCCTGGCTGGGCATGACTCAATGAATTCCAGCCTCATCCTGAACACATTTAAATGTATGTGCACACACTGGAGCAAGTGGACTGACGGAGCGAAATCAATAGGCAGCCTCTGTATGTAAATGAGCCTGAAGCCTGCATGCACTGTGGAAGAGAAATCTATCATGTATGAGCTCACTTAATATCCATTCAGGAGAAGAGAGCATCTCTGAGGTGCTACAGCCGAGGTTTATTTAGCTGCATTTGCTGTGGTGGTTTTTATGGCGGAACAGGGATTCAATAAAAAAAAAAAAAGGGATGAAGTCCTAATGTAGCTGGCTTAGAATGGAATAAAATGTGCTGCACAACATAAATGTAAGAGGAGCAGTTCATTAACATTACAACAAATATGCACATATTGGGATTTAATTTGTGTGATCAATCAAAGAAGGACCCGCCAATATGACTCAGCACCTGTTTTTGCAGCCCCCCTCTCTTCCTCTCTCTCATTAGGGAGATTATAAATGACTAGTATATTTCTACAGGGGCGTCCTCCCCTCCCAATGATTTCTTTTTTCCTACAGTTATCTTTTTATCACAGCTTTCTGTATATATAGAGGAGGGTAGTAATGCACTGACACCGCAGCAAGGCAAGTTCCCGCAGTCACCGCAGTAGGTGAAGCCTTTAAGTAGCACAATGCAGACATTACTCGTTCACGCCGTCAACCAAACAAGTGCGTAATTGAACCAATAACGGGGCAAGGCAATTAGGTCAATCAGCAGGTCTTCCCCACCTCTGAGATTTGGTTTCTAGATCTGTTGCACGGCTCTGATTTTCATATCAATTCCGCAACACTGCTCATCATCCAAACCTGGCGGACGTCGCAGGTCAGACAGACTCACAAGAACCCAGACCCAGTTCTCCTGGAGGCGAACAATGCGTCCTTTCTCCATCCACACAGAGAGGGGCACCTCATCATTTCAGCCTCAGCCCGCTGTAATGCTCATTTACTGTCGGGTGTAAAGGCTACCTCTGACCTCCGGCATCACATGCTTTTTTATAAGGAGCTGCCACTCGTGATTTTTTTGCTGCATTATGGCGCTGCTATAGGAAGAAATAAGTGTAAATTCTTTACCTGTTCGGCGCAGTGTCTTCCAGTCCAACTCCGGGTCTGTCGGACACAGCGGCTCCGCAGCCTGCCTTTACCGTAATGACTGGACTAGTCGCGCAGATAGACTGCACCTGCGTCTGCACGGGTTATTACGGTGATGTGGCCTTATTGTGAGAGATTACCACACAGGAGAAAAAACAAACAAAACGTCGAAGTATTTCACATCAGAAAGAAGCTAAAGACATGTACTGGTAATGTAAAGGTAAAACCTGTGTTTATTGATAACCAACACAGAGGCAGAGCAAACTGTTGTGGTCTGAAACAACTTTTGGCAAAACTACATTAAATGATTTAAAGTGCTGGCCTGTCCCGTGTAGCCTTTTGCTGGCTATTGTAAGCAAATCACGGCGTTTTATTAGATGCTTGGTAGTTTTTAAGTCGTAATATTTGACCATACAACAAATCTCTTGCTGTTAGCTTGGGAGGCGTTAGCATAGCTTAGCTTCTCCAGAATACCCTGGTGTTAGTGTAGCAGCTACAACAAAGTGACTAAAGAGTTTAATGTAAGGCCTGTTTTTGTAATTAAATGTTGCCTACTGTGTGAAGAAACTCTGAAAGCTGCTGACAATAAACTCAGAGGGTTGATGGGTTTGAACTTCTCAGGGAGTCATTAACTACAGGTGAGGATGCTCGACTTTATTTTCTGTGTTCTTGTGAGTTTTTAATGTACCAACTTGTGCTTTTCTGAACTAAATCACGGCCAAATATATCTGTATTTATGTTAAAGAAAACACAACATTCAAGTACAGTGAGTATAATACATTCCCCACAAGATTCGTTCATGTTATATTATTTCTGTGCACTCAGCTATAAATTGGATGCTTCCTTAGAAGTTCTCGCGATACGTGGGGTGCACGTTGTCTCTTAAGGGGCGTCCATTTTGGGGCAACACAGGCACACACAGGTGAGTTAAATAACATTAAGGATGCTTATTATTTACTGGTTAAGCTTGTCTTGGCTTAGTGGTGGGGCTCTACACCAAAAACTACACAAGTTTTAATCTTTCCTGCTCACTCTGCTCAAAGCCATGAAAAAAAACAAACAAAAAAAACACACATACATTATATTTGGAAATAGAAGATTTTGCCTTTTGTAGAAATGATGTGGAAGTTACTCTGGATAATACACAGACCTGAGGGAACTGTCTTCATCAAACTTCCCTTCAATGAGAATCTTAAAGCAATTACAATACAGTTTATTAGCTTCACTGTTTAACCCCAGCACTGGTGGGCTGTTCCAGGTATTCCTTGATATGAGAGCACCCCCCAGAGTGTATCTGCTGCACTTACAAGCATGTAGAAAACTGCTTTTCAAAGTTGTGTCCATAATGATACATGCACGTTCATCTGTTGAGCTGCCTTGAAATAATTCTACAAAAATTAACTCATCAGCTGTTATTCTACTCTGATCAAATGCTACTTAATATCATCCATGTGCACATGTTCTGTTTAAATCAGCTTTGGAGACATATGCTATCATCTGAGCAGCAATATGGCCCCCATGTGGTCACCAGAGGTTCTTTTTCCCAGTAACATGATCACACAACCTGGAGAATGAGACATGAATGGATGGGGAGTGTTGAGGTAGACTTCCTGCTGGAGAGGTGAAACTGTTGGCTCTGCTTCACTTCTCATGAAGAGATGAGCTCCTTTGGTAGCAGCACCTGAGGAGAGAAGCATCTGGAGGCAGGTGGATGTGATGGTTTTCATCCTTTTGCAGTCCCAACAGGTGAAGGAGAGGATCAAATCCACCGGTTCATACAGTGTGCTGGCAGTGTTGCAGCACTGTACATTTTACTACATTTCATTAAATATGCCTGTTAGCAACATCCATGGCAGAGATCTCATTTAAGACAGAATGAAAAGGTTTGCCTGAGCCTAACATCTCAGACAATGTAGCAGCTAATTCTCATTTACCTCTAAAAACCTGGAATCGGCTAATTATAATCTGTAAATTACGTTCATGAAATTGAGTTTCTAATTCTGGACTCCTCGTACCCAGTCTGCGGTATAAAGCGACTGACATACATACATGTAGATGAGAGGGACGACCTTGACCACCATCTGCCCATTAGGCCTCCTGGTAGCTGTGAAGGATATTATAAGAGGAGGTTATGCAGATGAGATCCAAGCACAAGCTGTCGCACTGGGGCTGTGGCCTTAAAAAGCTTTGACCTGCATTAATGTTAACCATCCAGATCAATGAAGTGACATCACAATAGTCTGTCAATCCAGTATTGGCTTTTATGAATCACATCTTAATTAAGTCGACTTGGCAAGTTGCAGACGTCCTTCTAAAAAACAACTGATGAAATCCTGCACTTAATGTGTCTATTTTTAGACTTACTAAGTGACTAATGGCTATTAACAATGTGACAGGGAGTGAAGTGCAATATTTCAGTTTTAGGTTTACTATGGTGTGACCCAGTGATGCATGCATGTTGTAATTCTAACATCTCCACTTTTTTTTTTCTTTTTATATTTCTGCTTGTAGATCCTTTGACCACACTTGTTGCATTTTCAGTAGTAGGCTGTTGGAAAGCTGCATTGTGTTGCTGTTTTGCTCTGATGCACTTTTTCTTATCTGGTTACTTTCAACACAAAAGAGGTCCTTTACTGAGAGAGCATGATGATTTATGCAATCCATCAGTTTGCACCCCCTTCCAAGTATGGCCTCAACGTGATCCCTGACCAGCTTCCCTCTCTGGAACATGAACAACCTCGCTCTACCTCTGTGGGCTCCACATACAAAATCAGTCTGCCCCCCTCAAAAAAGGAACCTGATGACAAAGCATGACATCCAGTATGTTTACTAATGTTTATGTTTACTAATAACCTTCTCATTTTCATAAAAAATATATTACAAAACAACAACAAAAAGCAAAAAGAACATATGAAATTTAAAAGTACATGTAAATCAAGTAACAGTTACATAAATAAGAGTATGTACTAAAGTCTTTTTATAGAGACATTTTAAGACAACTGTGAAAATAAATATCATGTGACAACTACAAACAGTACATAAACCCGACACTACAGGGGAGCTGCTGGTATATATTACTGTACATACAGTACCTATTTTATATTAAAACCTGAAATTGTGGTAGGAGCTACCAAATCCGTTAAAACTACTGTGCCATGTGTCACAATACCCACAAAATAAATCACTTTTGCTATAAAGTATTCAGCTGTTTACATCAAATCGCTCTACCGTGGAATGTATTAAGTATCCCAGTTACGGGGTGCCAGGGCCCATGTTCTGGTCATGGCCCCTGACATGAAGAAATCTGGAAAAGAAAGCATAAAAATAATCATTTAATAACATTTAGTAGTCAAAAATAACCCTTTATGTTGACTTTCACTTCGTAAATGTTATTATTTATAAAAAGCCTAAACTACACATCATGAGTGAGTGAATCGTGTCTTTGTAGATTTAAATTAACAAATAATTTTATGCAAAAGGACTTACTGAATAGACTAATTAATACAAAGACAATTCAGTGAGTGAGTGAAAAAATCAGTGAATGAACTTCCTTTAAAATTGTGCCAAATGAATGAACAAATCAGGAGTTTATTGAGAACAAAACAAATATAGTATTAAGCAAAATTGCAAAAAAAACAAAAACAAACTCTGCTTACAGCATTTGTAAGCCCCCATAATCATGATCATACTAGTAAGCAATGGATTCATTTCCCACTTACATTAAAAATTGAAGGCACCGCTACCTCAGCTGCCACTGGGTTTAATTCCCCTGCTTTGTCCTTGGGAGGGCAGTGTAGCACAAGACGACTGAGCTGGGGAGTGATGGGAGTTGGAGTTCTTTGATGTCAAGGAGGCTGAGAAAGACTCGGTCCACTTCAGTGCCACTTTTTCTCGTTTCTCAGAGAGCACTTCCTCATTCTCATTCAAAGGAAACACTCGCGGCTCCCAGGGTGTCTGAGGCTGCAGAGAGGGACAGAGAGTTGGTATAATGTAATTCAGCAAATACACAAAATCTCTGTGTTATCCACAACACACAGCGCTGAAGCTGATTTGCTCTTTCCTGTCAGCTCTTTCACTGAACTTCACCACTGATGGTTGTATCATACTGTGGCTCAGATGCCTGTTCGAGACATCAAAGGCTGTGCTTTAATCATGGTTTGTATGGACACTGGAGTACATAAGAAGTGAAAAGCAGTGAAGCAGGGGATATTTGTGGTGTTGAGAAGGTTGATTAGGAAAGTCTGGTTTAGTAGCGACTCGCTCCTTCTCCAATCAAAGCAAAGTGGTAGTGAGCACTGCAATCAGAGCATCATCAGATGTAACAGGAGTGGACACGAGTGTCTGTGCCGGCTCTTAAGAAGCCATCCAGCATTCATAGCTCACACGAATGGGAAAGACCGTTGGTCCTCAGCTCCTTTTTGCTGCTTTATATCTCTCCTCTGCTGAAGGACAAGTGATACTGATTCGTCTTTGAACGAAATGTCAAAGAAAATACAGAAAATAGCCTTCAAGCAATGTTTGGGGTTGAAGTGAAAACTGATTTATCTATAAGCAGTATATTTCTCAATTTACTCTTTATGGGGACTCAGCCAGCCTGTTCTCCTTTTTTATCACTTTCATATCACAAGAATAAATTGGCTGCTATGACCCTTGACCCATTATCATTACTTTTTTATGGCGGCTATCCATAAGAGGGGCATCCTACAGCTGCATTAGGCTTGTATTTAATAATCTCCCAATCTGAATTTACACATTTTTCAGTGCAGTGGTGATTTTACCGTCTTTTGATGTGCCATGTTTAAGGAACAAGCTCGAAAAATCTATTGATGCATGAATGTTAGTCCACCAAAATCATCTTCAGGATCAGGGTTAATAGTCAAGTGCAGTCAAAGGTAAGCCACATGTAACTGAGAAAAAGGAAACACTTAAACATGACAGTGAATAGCCAATAGAGGTGCAGCGATTCTGCGTTACATTGCAAGATAACCATCTGCGACACTTCACATATCTGTGTATTTGACGAACAAAAATACCTCTGAAAAGTCAAAAAAGCAGGATTTTTTTCCTACATTATGGTGTTTGTGTGTGTTGTAGTTATTATTCATACCCTCATTCATTTGATAAGAAACACCAAGAGCCATCAGAAAGTAGTGACTGTGGTAAATCATGTTGTCTCACCCCTAAAAGAACACTGGTGTGTATGAGCACCTGGATCAGCATACTGTCGTATTGGGATTCGAAGTTTCATCTGTGGCGCTTTTGATCTTACCAGCCACTCCTCTGACCTCGGCTGTTCATCAACATCCAGCTGAGCGCAACTCCACTCCGCGGAGCTCTCCTCTCCTGATGTGGATATCCCGCCCCCGCTGCCTAATAGCCTGCTGCCAGATCTGGAGTGAAAAAACAAGCATTACCCCATGAAACTCTGTGAGAAAATTTCTCAGCATTCCACTTGGACACAGGCTATATTTACATGCAGGCAAACAAAGTGTGCGACAGCTGCACTGCACATTCAGCACAGTCTTGCAGTGGATTGGATCTGATCGATATGATTTGAGATATGATCTGTTAAATCAGGCTTCAGTTAAGTATTTACTGTGTGATAGATTTTTATTTAAATATGATGGAGCATAACCACATCTGATACCACCGAAAGGGTGACCGTCACACAAGGAGGACATCGTGAACTTGTAAAACCATTGACACCACAGTTTAAATCCTGGGTCAGATGGGCTGTATAATGTGTATATAGATAATTTCCTAATTGCATTGTTTCATATTGCGATTTTAATTTGAAATACATTCATTGTTAAGCTCTAGTTATCATACTGTAATAAAAAACTGAAATATGACAAATACTGCCAACAATTCCAGCATTCCAGAAAGCCTATTTACTCTCCTCTATCCACTTTATTCACCTTGCATTTAGGTGCCACCTGATGTGACAGCTTTCAAAGGGAACTGTTTTCAATGCTATATTTGTGAGTCTGTGTGTGTCTGTGTCCACCTTGCAGATCGCCTGCAGCATTTTCTCTTCTCCCAGGACGGCCAGCGCAATTTCTCTCTCTCCTCCAAAGCGAGGTGCCTCTGAGCAAAGACTTCATCACCGAGATCCTCAATCTGCACAAACACAGAAGGACAGAGATGATAGTTTATTCATGACGGAAAATAAATTGCTTATGTCCAAAGGAATGGCACATTTACCTGATCCTCCTCGTCGCACTCTTCCTCCTCTGCCTCCGTCTCCATCAGAGACTGGGCGTCAACTACTCGCCAACTGCAAGAAGGATATGTTTTGTCCACTATAAGCACAATAACAACATGTGCCACTGTCCGTTTCTTTTTTACTCTTTTAAAAAAGAGTAAAAATACATGATTATATTATTACAGCAATAATCACTTAGACTGAACATGTACTGAAGGGTCAAGTACACACAGTTTGAAAAATACATTTATACAAATTGCTGACATGCTGTCGAATTGACCTCAAACTTCCTGCGCTGTAAGTTTGTCCATTAGTTCTGCCTGTGGAGTTTAGTATTATGGTTCATTGTAATAAAGCATAATGCATACCTGGGTGTTTGGATGTCCTTGTACTGCAGCTTTTCCACTTTAGTCAGTGACATGGGAATGACAATGTTGTTGATGTTGTACACACTCTCTCCCTGGCGTTTGCGAACGAAGCCCTAGAAGGTATTAAAGCTGAGGTTAAGAGCAACGCAATGATTCAGAACTGCTCACATATTCAGAGTCATTCCACACGGTCAGAATGCAACAACAGAGCCTCAGATTTTATTTTTATATTCAATACATATGCACAAGTGATGCAGTATTTATATCATATGGGTGTGTTTGATATATTTCTCTTCAGTCGATCACTAAACTGATTTGTGAGATTTGTTATCAAGAACCGAGGCGCGCAGTATTATGGAGTTAAAAAGCTTCTGTTTAACACTGTAATGCGTAACCGGTCTTACTTCCAACAATTGTAAGTTTACATGTATTATTTGTATAATTTGTTTTTCCAAGCATGTGATTCAATTAGCGTTTGAAGAACAGAAGAAAAACACTCATATTGTGTGTGTGTTACCTGTGAAGTCTGTTTGTGTGGAAGGTGTGAGGAACTCTCTTCCAGCACATCATCTGAACTTTCTTCTTGGTGACAGAGCTGGTGCAGAAAATCCTCATCTGAGAACACGAACACACACACACACACACACACACACACACAAAAGTACATTAAACTAGCAGTAACAGGAACTACACCATAAACAAGATCTTAATTAACAGAAGTCGTATTTAATTTAAACTATATTTAACTAAAAATAGGACATAAATCAGTCTGTGATCAAACGGTTTGCTGCACACCTGCAGTGCAGTGTGAGCATGCACTGAATAAACACACCTTCCATCAGCCTGTGGATGTGTTTTCTCCTCCTTTTCCTCCGATTGTCTTTGCTGTGTTGACTCTGGCCAGAGCCTGACAGCCTGATTGGTGACAGACCCATGACTCTGGCTCTACGATGCCGTGCGTGGTGCTTGTATTTGTGACCTATCGTGAAACACACTGAGTTAGCACACCACAGGAACTTCTTTTCATTCCACACGATCCTCCGGTTCCTCTGGGATGTTACACTTTTTCACAATTCCTTGATCATTATTATTTTGAAAATGAGCTGCTTCTCACTTTTCTGACCAGGTTGATTTACATTAAACATATTGCTTACTTACTTACCTAATCTCATGAAGGCAACAGGCAGAAGTAATAAAGGAATAGGAGACAGGAGTTAATAGGCTGGCCTAGGATGTACCATCTAAATCAATAATATCGTTCACCCTTTCTATTGTAGTGCACAATTTCTTTTTTCTTACGCTGTGCAGCTACAATAGTTGACTATTAAATAAATTACATCACTAGTCATTAACCCACATGTCAGTTGCCCGTGTTTTCCTGTCCCGCCTGCTTTGACAGTTTGCGTAATCGCTTTCTATTTTAGCTACTATCAGCTATGATAAGAGGTTTCCATGTGTCAGGCTGTTATTTTAGGTGACGTTTACTTGACAGACTGTCTTCTTCTGCTATTGACAGAGGAGAATAAGATCATTCAAGCTGACAGGAAATCAACAGAGTGCTGTGTGAGTGACGTCTTCATTCCTTTTCAGTCTGCCTCCTTTCTGTCTCTTCCTTTACACTCTCCCTCTTTTGTCTACATCATTTCTTGTCAGTTTTTTTTCACCTTTATATTTAACGTAAGAAGTACAAATGAAAAAATAGGCAACTTATAACATAATGTTTGGTCCACCTTTGCTCAATAAACAGGGGACATTCTTTGACCAGTTCACATCATCCATCCCTATAGTGGACAAACATGAGGCCATGAGGCCCATTTAAAGGCCGGAAGCCAGAGCTTCCACAGGTATGACAATGAAGAGCTAAAGGATCGTTCATTAGCCTCACACGATTATACTGAACAATGACACATACTGACATGCAGACATGCCAAATGATTTCATTTCCATCTACTACTCAGTTGGATGCCTCATACAGACCCAGTGGGATATCTGACATGCTAGGAACCAATTATGACAGTCGACTGGAAGAAAACAACCAGACGCAGCGGTCGGCTTTGAAGCAGCCATTTTATTCACAGTGATTGTTTCCCTTCACTGAATGTAAGCAAATGGGAGAATTGTCTGAAGAGACAACTGTGTTTATCATAATTATGTATGATTGATTATTTGGAAGCCCTGTAGAAAAAAGAAAGTCATTTGAATTTATGACACATTAAAAAAAAATGTTGATTTTTACGGTATATATGGTCTGTCTCTAAGTGTAGCCCTGTGATAGACTGGTGACCTGTCCAGGTGAACCTGCCTTCACCCTGAGTCAGCTGGGATAGACTCCAGCCCCCTATGACCCTAGTGAGGATTAAGTGGTGTATAGATGATGGATGGATGTATGGATGGTATATATGAACAATTACAATTTGAAAAACAAGATTCATGTACAGACTTAAAATAGATTTTGTGCTGTGCCATAAGAAGATGGGACACAAGTACAACCTCACATAACCTATCATTCCACTACATTACATAAAAGTAGAGCTGGGCTAGGCTCCTATCCTCAATAAAAGTGAGAATGTAGATGCACTCTTTGAAATTGCCCATGTCTTTCACTCCTCTTATTCACTGATCAACTATGACATGAATACAGTAGCATGCTTGGGCCCTGATCACAAGCAGAACCAACATGTAGTGGATCTGTCATTGCTACATAGTACAGCAAATTTGTTTTGCTGTTGAAGTAAGAAAAAAAACAGAAATGTCCTGCGCTGTCATGAATTTTTTAAGCAAAATAAGATGAATTCAATGCAGAGCAACAGAGAGCAGACCAAGCAGAATGTAAGAAAAGACAGCCCCATAGAACAAGATAGAATATGTAATCAGTGGCAGTAAATGAAAGGATCTCACCATTCTGCAGTGGAGTGGAGCTGCGTCTCTTGTGGTTTTCTGGGCTGTACAGTTTGGCGTTGATAACTAAAGGTCTTTGGGACCACTCTTCTCTGGCCAGGACCCCCTGTACGTTATGGCACGTAGTAGTGTCTGGGAGGAAATATGATTTTTAAATATGTCATGAAAATAATAGTTTGATCACCCTTTTGCTTTCAATTACTGAGCACATCTCTTGATGGGAAACCAAGGTAAACACACATCAAACCCCCGGCATCCATTGTTCTCTACAGTTCTACTTCCCAGAATCTGTGTGTATTAGAACTCCACAAAAGCAGCAACCATATCATACTAACCTACACAAGCTTCTGTTTGACATGTCCGATGTGCTACAGCCTTGACATGAGAAGGACAACATGGCCAGTGTGCTACACTTCAGAACGTCTACCATGTCAAACAGGAAGCAGTCAAATGAATCGTGTAACCTTTATCTCTACAACAGGTGTAGATAAGTGAACATTAAAGTTAATTCTACCCCCCAAAAAAACTTAAATGGCATGCTATTTAAAAATAAATTCATTAATGGGGAAAAAAAAGACATTGGGGGGTTCAAAGCATAAAACTTTAAGCCTTTTCCATGTCTTATACAGCTATGTTTCTCCTACCGAAGGAAAGCGAGGACACAGAGAGAGGTCTGGAGCTGAGGGTACTGGAGGAGATGACCCGACTGGAGCTGCACTCAGGATCAGAACACGAGACTACAGGATCGCAGGAAGAGCAACTTGAACAGGAAGATGATGAGAGAGAAGAGGAGAGGGCAGATGTGGACTTTCCCGAGTCCTAGAGCACAAGGATGAGAGAACACAAGAGAGAAAAAGTAATTTGCCACATAATACGAAATGGTCAATGGAGCGCAGTCGGGACACAGAGTTTCTTTATACAGTATTAACTTTCTCTTTGTGCTTTGTTGGGGAATGAGTCATAAAGGTTTTAAAGAAGTTGATCTCCACTGGAGCTCAGCGATTAAAGTAATTAAGCTGTTAAAGGCTTTCTTTTTTATCTGGCAGTATCACAGTGGTAGTGGATCAGGTCTGCTTATTATAGTAGCTACAACTGCTCTGGGTTCTGTGCCATCCAGATTAGCAGTGCTCAGGAAGATGTTGAAACTCTATAAATACGCTGGTGTTGGGCTTTCAAATGCATATTTTAAAACGCTGAACATGTACCTGGGAAGTAAAAGTTTTATCCGGTTTGTCGATTTGCATAGCTCATTACTGCTCGTGGTGTGAAGCTAAACCGGGTTTTGCCAACCACTGACTTGACACGCCACCATTAGCGCCCTGTGATTTTATCTGCAGTGAGAGCACCTCATTATGTGTTGGCCCACGTTCTAAACTCAAGCTACAGCTTTAAAATAACACCATGCATTTGAACATTTGAAGTAAGGCCAAGAGACATCATTCTTTAATTAAAAGCAGGTGTCCGGCTTTAAACATTAATTCCTATTTAATTTGCTGAACTATTTTAGCGATATGGCATTCCACTGCTGAAGCCTGACTCAGAGCGACCGCTTTGAAGCTACGTTTCAAATTAATCTGGACGTAATTCAATTAAATAAATAAACCAACGTGTTTGACAGCTTGTACATACTGTCTCATTTTCAGCCGCTTTTAAACCTTTTGATTAAAGTTAAAATTGGTCGACACTGTATATATAAGTGGTTCATTGTAAATAAGTACGTCCAACATCTTGGTGAAGGGAATATGTACATGATCCCTAGCTCATTCTTATCGTAGGAAATGTGTCTGAAGTGTGCTCTGACATTTATATATTGCATGTAGATGGTTAGACAGACAGACTGGGGGAACAAGGAGCCTACATCTGACCTACCAGTGGACTGCTGGGGTTGTAGGAGTTGAAAGTGAACAGCTTGCGCTTGTGGTAGGTGACCAGGGGTCGGGTCCGGGCGCAAACGCATGACACATCGGCTTTGAAGAGTCTCCTGGTCCCCAGTGTCCTTCTCTTAAAGCTCCCAGGCACAAAATCATTATCTCCTCTTTGTCCGCTGCAGGAATCAGATCAGATGAGGTCATGGAAATGTCAGGGTTAGGATTCACACTAACACCACCAGTGCTAAAACAAAAAGAGCAACGTTTTCGAGGTGTTGATCTCTTAGATCTTGTTCACCAATAACAACTACAAACAAATGATACCTCCATAAACCCCCGTGTTACTGTACATGACTAAACAAACAGAATGTCTTCCATTTATTATGTGGCTTTTATCTTCACAGCCAGACAGGGAAAGTTAAAACGACAGCAGAAATAGAAACATGAAGGGAAGTCAGGCAAGATGAAGAGAACCACGCTGTCTTCCTGGGTTATCTTACAAAAAGAAGCATGTTTTCAGCCTTATTAACATCACCTGTAGCCTCGGCCTCAAAGAGACAACATTATCAGTACTAGTTTGTTGTTTTTTTATGTATTTTATAGTCGTACTATTATCTATTTCTGCCAATACAGATTAGGAGATTATAACCTTACCTTTAGGTCAGATTTCCTCAGAATTGTACCTTTATTGTTTCTGAACATGTGTTTGTGAAAGTATTCTTTCGCTGCAGCTCATGAAAAGCACCAGCGATTCGGCTGTAACACACTCTACCTTCTCTTGAGTTTCCAGGTCTGTGGTGCTTTTGAGAGCGGTGAAAAGCTGAGAGGAGGCATCAGACTGTTGACCATCTGACTAAGCTGGGCACTCTGTAATGAAGATATCACCCAAACAACAATAATGCATTTCACAAATGGATTAATTGAAACTTAAGTGTGAAATACAGAAACAATACAGACTATGAAACACTGCATCCTTGGTAGGACACACCAAGACAGCACGACCAAGGTGCAAATTTATCCACTGCAGCACTAAAGAACAGCCGTTTACTTGCAATTCTTTTCTTTTTTTTTTGTTTAGCAGTTATTTTATTTACTATTGACTACTACATACACTAATTGATTATTATAATTGATGTATTCATTGGCTTTATTGCAGATTTTCATGTGGCCTGAATGTGCACACTGATTTTATCTCTCATCTATCTGTATCTCATATCTAATTTTATATCTGCACAGAAAGAGTGGAAAGCCAAATGGTAAATATGCTCAGGGCGCACACAAATACGCACACGTTACAGTCCATAAAACAAAGAACACCGAGGCACAGAGGGAGCGTGTCAGAGACTGAGGTGAAACACGAGCGAACCTCGGACGGGCATTCACTCGATGGAGAGCACTCAGGGACTTCAAAGGGTTCAACATTCAGTTGGCATCACTTCTACTGGATCAGTAGGTAACAAAACCTGCCCAATTATTACCACGACTGAGCTCTCCACTCTGCCTTTATCATTGTGCTGGGATCAGGGCTTCTCTTTCAAATTGGGCCGCTTATGGTTGTTTCTTGCTTTGGATGGCAGCCAGGCTGTTCCTAGTAGCCGTGCTGCAGCGCTCATGTTCCTAATGTGAGTTGAGAAGTTGTCTGTTGCCACTTTGAACTAGAACAGTTTCACTTGTGTACTTAAGTATAACTTTTATTACCACGAGGACAGTCTGCACCGTGTTAGATTAATGGGTGATTCACAGCCTCGACAGCTGGAACAATGAATAAGGCTCCTTCCCTCTGAGTTGATTACATACCAGTAGACTTCATAAAGCAGCAGGAATCATTCATACCACCTGAAGCCTCTCATTTAGCATAATAACGCACAGGTCAAACAGTACACATGCTGTAATTGATTAATTTAATCCTCTCAGTCTGACTCTGGGATATAACATTACAGATAAGCAGCCTCTCGTGCTTTTCTACACACAGCACTGAAAAGGTATTAACTTCTGACATAGTGTGTACTATTACAGATTACTAATCCTCTTGATTTCAAACTCACACCTGGTGTTATAGGTGTGTGTGTGCTAGTTCCTCCCTCCTACCTGTCTTTCTATGTTGTGCAGAAGGCGTGTGGGGCTGCAGGGTTCAGTGTCAGCATCCGAGGCTGTGCTGGATAACCCTGCCATTTCCCTCAGCAGGGTCTGCTGAATCTGCCTGTCAGTCAGTGGCTGGGAGTCTGCAAGCGCTATGCCACCCTTAGACAGACATGAACAGACACAGAGGTAAGACAGGTCATCTCTTTGTCTATTATATATTTGTCAGGTCCTACTCACATTCTTACTTTCACTTTTCATGGCATTAGTAGTCCACTGAAGTTGTAGTAAGTTTGCTTTGTTTACCAATGGTGGTATAAAAAAATGCTTAGTGCATCTAGAATGTGCTATAGTCCAATCTGACTCACAGCTATACTGTAAAAAATCAGGTGTTCATTTGGTCAGTAAGACAGGAAGGACTGACTAAGTTTGTGATTAGCTGACATTATCTTTACACTAAACAGACTTGGTGTACTAAGACTTGACCAAAACTCGTCTGTCGGTTGTCCACTACAGGTCAGCCAATATTGTTTTTCAGGGCCAAAACAGATATTGATCAGTAGGATAATACAGCATAGTATTTGTGTTAAAAATGAAAATCTTGGTGTCAAAATTTAGAAAAAAAAAATCTAACTCCACCATGAAACTTTGTTGAAATGCCTTGTTTATATTTTACTGGTGTCTTGTAAAGAGAGAACTTTTATCTGTCAGTGCTGATAGGCTATTATTTTTAGGCTTAAAGGCTTATATTTCGCTCTTGTTTTTATATTTTGCTCTTGTTTTATTGTACTTAATATTTATTAGGCTTTTTTTCCCCCTAAAAAAAACGGGACCTGAATACAAATGTCATACCACTAACATGTGATTGTGAGCTGGCATGACAAATAGTTCATTGAATCCTTGAATCCTATTACTCATGGTATGCGACCAATCAAACAGTGCTGTGAACGGGGCACAGAGTGGTGAGCACTGACAGAGAGATATGGTTGCATCGGAGCCTCAGTGTAACCTTTCTAGATTGATTTACTTTAACTGGAGCTTAACAAAAACAAAACTCATAACTGGAAATATGTTAAATCTTGTCTCTGATAATCAGCTGGCCAATAACTGGTTGACCCCTAATCCCAACAATCCTTCGTTGAGGTGGTTGTAGAAGACTTTTGTCATACCTTAGTGGAGCGTATGTGCTTGTGGCGCTCTACCAGTTGTTGTATCCTCCCTTCCAGTTCAGTCAGACGCAGCTGCAACCAGCTCCATCTGCTGCTCAGCTCCGCTCTCTCTTCCAGCCACTGCCTCTCACAGCTGCTGCTGCTGCTGCTGCTGACAGGAGGGCCCGGGTGATGGATGACAGAGGAGGGCAGTTACACCCATATAATAGCACTATAATATTATACTCATCTTTGTCAAAGGCTTTACATCCTGATACCACATCACAAGAGAAGAATTCTAAATCCATAAATGCCTTGAAATGTAATCATAAACTGGGCAATATTTCAAGAGGCAATCATAAAACCCAGCATGGCCATTAAAACTGACCAGTGGAAGTACATGAAGAGGTTAGCATGAGAACCACTGGGAGGAATACATGAGTTACCAGAGGGAGAAGAAACAGGAAAGGAAAGAGAATGAGATAACACAGAATCAGGAGAGACACACCAGGCAATTAATCAGTTGGCAGATTTGTAGTGAAGCTCCGTCAACATATGACCTATTTTACACAGTCTTGTTGCCATGAAGCATGTAAATTGTTTAGCATCCCAACAGCATGGGGGGTGAAATTTGTTAAAGCACAAAGGCCTATCTAGGCCACAGAATAACACACAGTTGATTTGTGTGGTGTGTGTCTATAGCATGTTTCCATGGCACTAGCCTGTTCAGTTAGCATTTATCTTCGCTGTGTGTGTGTGTGAGTGTGAGTGTGTGCGGCTGGCTGACTTCAGCAGGGCAATAGTTGCTATGGCAGTGCTCTTGGACCTTGGCTAGGACAGAGAGGGACTCCCCCACTTCAAACACTGATGTAGGGGAGGGAAAGGTTAGGCTCGTCAGCAAGCAGCCACACACAGTGTACTTTACAATACCCTTTGATATTATATGGTAGTGGTGTCGCTGTTAGCTCAAATCAAATACCTCAAATGCTGTTTGTGTACCTCAACGCAATTACACTAAGTTGATGGTCAATATGTAAAACTGCAGCCAAAAGCAAAGCCAAGAGTCGGTTAATGGCTGCCTCTCAACTTACTTTCACTCAACCCTGAGCCAATATCTGTTTGTTAAGCAGTAGGCGCTCTTTTTCCTCAGACAATGAGCAGACCTGGCTGCCCTGCAGCTCTTTCCAACTGTATAATGAGAAAATTCCAGGAATATTTGCCAGGCATTAGCCGAGACAGGAGAATAGGAAAGAAGGGGATCGGCTGCTTTATACCTGTTAGTGTGCATGTTCACAAACTAGACACTGAAATACACATTTCTCATGATGATATTGACTTTCCTGAATAAAATATGGGATCTAGAGATGTAGTGGCTATCCTCCACAGTGAAAGAATTGTGTGTTTTCACAGAAAAACCATGGTTGGGGAAACGGCCAGCTCAAGCAAGTAGTTCTGGGTTTACAAAGTCCTCGTCTTGGCTCTTGCACAGGCATTAGGGTTTTTGGGTGTGTCATACATTTGAACTTAAGCACTTAGTCTTTCACAAATACTCCCATATAGTACATTTAAACAAACCGAACACAGCAAATGAGCAGCAGCTGCAGGTGGGCAGGACTGCTGCCAGTGCAGAAAATGAGCAATCTGGCTATGTGCTTTCAAAAAACAAGTCGTGTCACTGCTTTACAAGTTCATTCTTGAAATGGTAAAGGCCAACTATTTCCACAATTTCTAAAGGAGAGCAATGACCCATTACATCCCCAGCAAGTCGCTATCCTCTTCGAGGAGGAACCTGCCATAAAACCTCCCCGGGGGAGATTTACTGATGAAGCACAGAGCATTGTTCCATACAGGAGGAGAACAGACTCGGACAAAGGGCAAGCTGACACTTCCAAGATGACTGAAGCTGGCCAAATAAAAAGACACACAAGAAAACAACACACAGACATAAAAAATCTTGTCTCATTCCTGTTCTCAGACCTAATAAACACTTTTGGTTAGTTTACTGCATGGCATTGTTTTGGGAAACAAACAGAAGGGTCAAAGAGCTTACTGAAGGGATAGATGGCAGTGTACTTACACTGGACCTATCCTGCACACTGAAAACTGGATTGAAGATCACTGTTCTCTCTGTTATGTTATACTCCTGTTACAGATCAATGTTAGCCCCAATGTTCCCCTTTTCTGTATTTATTAGTGTTTCCTATTACCTTAGTTATTTCGCATTAGGACAACAACATTAACCAATTCAAGATATTAAACTACAGATAAAGACATTGACCGGCAAAATATATTTTGTAATTCTGACCATAACTATCCTGTGGCTTGTTAGCACCAAAAAAAACCTGCTTACAGGATGTCACATCACACAGCCATTTAAGATGTGTGTCTTTTTTTCTTGATCTGGGGCGAATACAACTCCCTTTAACCGAGTACAGCAGCACCACAGGCATCCAAACCTCCCATACAGGCACACACTGTAAAAATGTTTTTGACTAGAAAGAGGAGGAGCTGAGGCGTGATGGCACAGAATGGCTGGCAAGTCGTTGGCTTGCTGGAAAGCCTGTGTTTATTTCCTACCCTGTGGGTAAAGGGAGCTGGCTAGTCAGTTGAATCTGTTATGACTGCAGCATGGAAAGAGAAAAGTCTCTGTGTATGCATGGTTAAAAAACTGTCATAACATTCTCCACAGCTGGGAGGACAAAACTTGTACTTACGACAGCCACACTGTAAGCTTCGCTGAGAGCCAAGTAAAACATGTAACTAACACTGGGGAGGAACGTTGGACCTCATACACTCAGACAGCTGACTTTCCAAAACTGGGATCGTAAAGTACGTGCTGGATTTTTTGTGTCATTCTTGACATTTGCAGATGTTCATGACATAATGCCTCCTTCCTCATAATGTCAAACAAACTTAAGCAAATGTGCTCATTCTCTCCAATTTACACCATCAGTATCTATTTTGATCTAGCGCTCTCTTTTTTGCGTTTGCAGTGCTTCTAGTGTAATAGACTGACTGGCTGCCTAGTTTGAGAGTCTCCGTGTACTCTCTCCTTGTCCAAATTACAGAAGAGGCCGATGATTTCAGGGAGAATAATGTCTGTATTCTGGCAACTGAATCCCAGAAAAGCACAACAAATAGTTTGCGAAGTTTGTGAAACTGTTTACTTCACCATTAGCAGGTAGCTTTAAATCTGACAGTGAAATGATACGATTCAGCTCAACATGAAGGGTGAAATATGTGATTCAGGGCATTTCAAAAGTCGCTCCTTTCCAGCTTGTGTATTTAGCTGTAATAACCCACTGTGCCAGCCTCACACAGCACTTACCGTTCAAAATAAGAAGCATCATTTTCTTGTGAAGAAACAAGCCAAGCCTTTCAACTTCTATGTGTTTCTGAACAAGCAATACATCCCACTCGGCCAGCTGGTGCACAGAACATATGCAGCTATATATAGACTACTTCCATTTGCTGGATACTCACACAGGTGAAATCTTGCCACGGATCGTTTCCTCCTCTGGCTCCTCATCTGAGCTACTGCTGGCTGTAGCCTCAGAGTCTAAGGCCTCCTGCAGGCCTCTCAGCACCACCTGACTGGAGTGGCTGAACTCTCTGACCTCTGTGAGAGCAGACGGTGCTGCGGACGGCTCGAGCCAAGAAAACTGTGGTCTACTTTCCGCTTGTGGATGTAGTACACCAGGATGTATAGAGTCCAAGCTGCCAAGAGACACACCTCCAAGCTGACGGTGTTTTTTCAGCCCTTCCAGCTGCTGGCTGCAGTGTCGCAAAGCGTGCTCTCCTAGCAGAACTTGCAGTCTCCTTTGTAGGCTCCAAGCTCGGCTGTGCAGCCCTGCCTGCCTGGTGAGCTGCTCCTTCACAGCCTCCTCGAGCACAGCTTTGGTCGTCGGCTGATCAAGACTCACCCTGCCAACGCAAGGCTGCGCTGAAGCTGGAGGAAGAAATCCCATCCTCGCTGTTTTCTCCTGTGTTATTGTAGGCGAGGTTGCAAACAAAGGAGTGTAGCCCTGGGACTGGGAATATAAAGGACAAACACTGGGAAAGGTAAGAGAGGAGTGATGCACATCACCACCATCTGGCCCACATTCAGGGGCAGCACTCTGTCCATGCAGCAAACACGCCTCTTGGCTATTGTGCTCAGGGGCACGGACTACAAACATGTCTGGTACACCTGGGAAGACAGAGGCCACCTGATGAGAATCCCTCTGGTCTGTATCGAGGGACAGGAGGCGGACAAACGAGCCGCCTGGACCGGGCAGGGGCATTATCTCACACAGGTGGGCAGATGTTTGCAGGCATGTTGGAGCTGCCGGGTTTGCAGGGGCATCCAGGAGGCTCAAGGTGGGGCAGCAGTCCGGCAAGCGAAGTGAGGAGAGGTTCAGCCACATCTTCTGGAGGCCGCCGTCATCCGTAGAGCTCATGTGAGGCTCCAGCTCATTGCTGGCTCTTCCATCCGAGTCCATCCTGACAGCGGCGGGAGGCGACGACAAGTGGATCCCGTGGCCATTTTTCAGGATTTTGGTCAGGGCTGGGGCCATAGCCCTGTCTGGGCAGCACACTGCACTGGTTGTGCCTTAAATCATGTGACAGAGAGAAAAACTCATGTTGGTAACTTCCAAAACTGATGACAAATGAGTCTGAAAAAACACAACAGTAATGCCTTAGCTGACATTAAGCACAGTTCTTCATGAGAAACAGTACTAGTTGGTGAATATGAATAAACAATATGGCAGAATCAGATAAAGTCACTGAGAGTCTGAACAAACGGCACTTCAACGTCTACCAGTTAACGTGATTTTACGGGTCTTTTCAGAAGCTTAATGAGAACAAGAGTTTATTACTGATTCTCTCTGCGTCCTGTTCGCCTTTTATATTAACCTGACTATGATTCTGGGTCGATAAATTTGCTTCATTTGGGGTTATAACGACCAAACTAACGGGTGAGTGCTGCTGTAACGGAGAGCAGCTACGGTGAAGACACACAGATACCAAGTGGTGTGAAAAGATAAAGAAAACACAGGTTAACTAGGTTTAAAAAATAAAAATAAAAAAGGTGCTTGTGTTCGCCCACCGACGGTAAAACGTTCAACCGACCTAAACCGCTAAAACAAACGGCTCCGCGAAGTCCCGTTGAAGTGTATCCGTCCGTACTCACCTGAGCCGGGGGGAGCCGTTGACCTCACATCGCTCCCTCCGCCGGGATTTGCGGCTGAATGTGAGCTTAATTCTCCCCGAGTTTGAACAAAAGCTCCGTTAGAAAAGTCCAACGCGACGGGTTTGTGTGGTTTTCACACTGGAGGAGGGGGGCGGACACCTGTGTTTTCCGTACGGAGCGCTCGGCTCTCCGGTGAGCTGCTTCCTCTCCTCCTCCGAGCCCCAACTGCCGAGAGCGCGCACGGAGAGGAGGCTGGACCAGC